ACATTCTTTGATATTAGAAACAAAAAAACATTCTTTGATATTAGAACCAGAAAACATTCTCTGATATTAGAAATAAAAAACATTCTCTAATATTGGAAACAAAAACATTCTCTGATGTTAGAAATAAAAAAACATTCTCTGATATTATAAATAAAAAACATTCTCTGATGTTAGAAATAAAAAAAACATTCTCTGATATTAGAAGTAAAAAAAAACATTCTCTGATATTAGAAATAAAAAACATTCTCTGATATTAGAAACAAAAAAAAACATTCTCTGATATCAGAAATAAAAAAAACATTCTCTGATATTAGAAACAAAAAACATTCTCTGATATTAGAAACAAAAAAACATTCTCTGATATTAGAAACAAAAAACATTCTCTGATGTTAGAAATAAAAAAACATTCTCTGATATTAGAAACAAAAAAACATTCTCTGATATCAGAAATAAAAAAAACATTCTCTGATATTAGAAACAAAAAACATTCTCTGATATTAGAAACAAAAAACATTCTCTGATGTTAGAAATAAAAAACATTCTCTGATATTAGAAACAAAAAACATTCTCTGATATTGGAAACAAAAAAACATTCTCTGATATTAGAAATAAAAAACATTCTCTGATATTAGAAACAAAAATCATTCTCTGATATTAGAAATAAAAAACATTATCTGATGTTAGAAATAAAAAAACATTCTCTGATATTAGAAATAAAAAAACATTCTCTGATATTAGAAACAAAAATCATTCTCTGATATTAGAAATAAAAAAAAAACATTCTCTGATGTTAGAAATAAAAAACATTCTCTGATATTAGAAATAAAAAAACATTCTCTGATATTAGAAATAAAAAAAAACATTCTCTGATATTAGAAATAAAAAACATTCTCTGATATTAGAAATAAAAAACATTCTCTGATATTAGAAATAAAAAACATTCTCTGATATTAGAAACAAAAAAACATTCTCTGATGTTAGAAATTAAAAAAAACATTCTCTGATATTAGAAATAAAAATCATTCTCTGATATTAGAAACAAAAAAACATTCTCTGATATTAGAAATAAAAAAAACATTCTCTGATATTAGAAATAAAAAACATTCTCTGATATTAGAAACAAAAAACATTCTCTGATATTAGAAATTAAAAAAACGTTCTCTGATATTAGAAATAAAAAAACCATTCTCTGATATTAGAAACAAAAAAACATTCTCTGATATTAGAAATAAAAAACATTCTCTGATATTAGAAACAAAAAACATTCTCTGATATTAGAAATAAAAATCATTCTCTGATATTAGAAACAAAAAACATTCTGATATTAGAAATAAAAAACATTCTCTGATATTAGAAACAAAAAACAATCTCTGATATTAGAAATAAAAAACATTCTCTGATATTAGAAATTAAAAAAAAACATTCTCTGATATTAGAAATAAAAAAAACATTCTCTGATATTAGAAACAAAAAACATTCTCTGATATTAGAAATAAAAAACATTCTCTGATATTAGAAACAAAAAACATTCTCTGATATTAGAAATAAAAAAACATTCTCTGATATTAGAAATAAAAACACATTCTCTAATATTATCTGCATTGTCTTTGAAACTGGTCGGTGTGGTCAATGCAGCAACGCGATTCCTTGCAAAAGGTTGCGCGCGACGTCACGCGATGACGTCACGCGCAACACCGCGGCGCGGGTCGAGACGTCGAAGCGTGAAAGCCACAGCGCGTGGTGACGTCACTGCCAGTATTCGCGTGCATGCTATGGCGTGGCCAGTGTCGTCATCTAGACGATTAGGGGACGTCCATAAATGACGTCACGCACCTATGGTGGGGGGGAGGGGTCACACATTTGTGACGATTTGTGACGAGGGGGGTGGGTTTGAGAAATGTGACGTCATATCAAAATGCGCAAATTTAAATAAATATAGACAACACGCTCTACTTAAATTTTTATTTAAAGCTTTGGTGACTGCAGGAATTCATATTCTTGGTTCTTTCGGTAAAGTCACCACCACGTTAGAAGGGAAACAATAAAATAATACAAAATATAAAACAATAAAATTCTCACGACGTATCGACTGCAACACAAGCAATCAATCATCAGGTGTGAAAACCTGATGATGAAAATTTGAAAATGTTCTTGCTGTGGTTTTCACACCTGATGATGATTGCTTGTGTTGCAGTCAAAACGTCGTGAGAATTGTATTGTTTTATATATTTTGTATTATTTTATTGTTTCCCTTCTAACGTGGTGACTTTACCGAAAGAACCAAGAATGCGTTCTACTTAATTAAAGAGACTTTTAAGTAAATATTTTCTCCTACAACATCAGAATGCAGCGCCACATTAAATACGCACTACAATGGCAATAGTTTAAAGCGATTTGGAGCATGTTTTATTTTGGGGGGTGGGGGCAGAGCTTTATGACGTCATATTTGAGGGGGGGCGTCTGACTTTTTGTGACGCCGTGTGACGAGGAGGGGGGGGGTCAAAAATCGTCCAAAATCGCGTGACGTCATTTATGGACGGCCCCTTATCTGAACCGGTCTCTGGGCATCCCCTAGGTCAACTCGGCCTTAAACAATTAGTAGCTGCTGTAGCGGCGGTGTGTAGCAAAAATCGCCACTGGGAGGGGGGGGGGCAGGGAGGGAGGGGAGACAAAGGCGGCCGGGCATGGTGCTGGCCAGGCCCCCCCTCGTGTGCCACTGTGCCGGTACCAGTGTCGGATTCCAATGTGGAACAAAACGATAATTTATTTTTGCTAATGGGTAGTAAGTGTGTATTTCCTGATTGCTTATGCCTCAAAAGTAGCGACAATGGCTATTGTAGTGTGTAGGAATCTCCTGGTTACACCAGCAGCCCACAAGGGGATTATTGTGTCCGTCAGTCGTGCATCAAAAAATGGGATGGGTGGGGAGGGGCTGGGTGGGGAGGGGCTGGGTGGGGAGGGGTTGGGTGGGGAGGGGCTGGGTGGGGAGGGGCTGGGTGGAGAGGGGTTGGGTGGGGAGGGGCTGGGTGGGGAGGGTGGGGCTGGGTGGGGCTGGGTGGGGAGGGGCTGGGTGGGGCTGGGTGGGGGGTGGGAGGGGTGGGGCTTGGTGGGGAGGGGCTGGGTGGGGAGGGGCTGGGTGTGGAGGGGCTGGTCACCCCGTGGTGCCCTTATAAAACTCAACGTTTTACTTACTCACGCCGGCTTGTGCCCGCCCTCACAGTCGGGCATATTTGCGGAATACACCACGTGGTGCCGCCCGTTGACCCTGGCCATTGACCGAGCAACCCAACGTTCCTTACCAGCTCCCTCCGCAGGAGAATGTTTTATTACCCACAAACTTTGCTTGTGACCAGGGGCCGTCCATAAATGATGTCACGCGATTTTGGACGATTTTTGACCCCTCACACCCCCCCCTCATCACACGGCGTCTTTATATTCTAATGTAAGGATGAGAACGTGAAATATGTTAATGTTTTACTTATTAAAATGTTTCTTGGTGTGGTTTTCACACCTGATGATGGTTGCTTGTGTTTGCAGTCGAAACGTCGTGAGAATTTCATTGTTTAATAGTTTTATTATTTTATTGTTTCCCTTCTAACGTGGTGACTTTACCCGAAAGAACCAAGAATATGAAACTGAGCAATCAAACATAGAACAATTGTTAAGTGAAATAAATAAAGTTAGAATAATATAAAGTAATAAAATTCCAATAAGGCTTTTCAAATCGCAATAAATCGCAGCCTTTGCGATTTACTAATCGCATCGTTTCAAATTACGATTTCGATTTTTAATCGATTAATCGTTCGGCCCGACTTCATCGGTGCTGCTCGCTAACAGCACTTGCCCCTGCAGTCTGTTAGAGGCTACACGGGGGATCTTTGTCTGTATCTGAGGTGCTAGCTAACAGCACTTGTCCCTGCAGTCGGTTAGGGGCTACACGGGGGATCTTTGTCTGTGTCTGTGTGTGTGGTGCTAGCTAACAGCACTTGCCCCTGCAGTCTGTTAGAGGCTACACGGCGGATCTTTGTCTATGTCTGTGTGTGTGGTGCTAGCTAACAGCACTTGCCCCTGCAGTCTGTTAGAGGCTACACGTGGGATCTTTGTCTGTGTCTGTGTGTGTGGTGCTAGCTAACAGCACTTGTCCCTGCAGTCTGTTAGGGGCTACACGGGGGATCTTTGTGTGTGAGGTGCTAGCTAACAGCACTTGCCCCTGCAGCCTGTTAGAGGCTACACGGGGGATCTTTGTCTGTGTCTGTGTGTGAGGTGCTAGCTAACAGCACTTGCCCCTGCAGTCTGTTAGAGGCTACACGGGGGATCTGTGTCTGTGTCTGTGTGAGGTGCTAGCTAACAGCACTTTCCCCTGCAGTCTGTTACAGGCTACACGGGGGATCTTTGTCTGTGCCTGTGTGTGAGGTGCCAGCTAACAGCACTTGCCCCTGCAGCCTGTTAGAGGCTACACGGGGGATCTTTGTCTGTGTCTGTGTGTGAGGTACTCGCTAACAGCACTTGCCCCTTCAGTCTGTTAGAGGCTGCACGGGGGATCTTTGTGTCTGTGTGTGAGGTGCCAGCTAACAGCACTTGCCCCTGCAGCCTGTTAGAGGCTACACGGGGAATCTTTGTCTGTGTCTCTGTGTGTGAGGTGCTAGCTAACAGCACTTGCCCCTGCATTCTATTAAAGCTACACGGGGGATCTTTGTCTGTGTCTGTGTGTGTGAGGTCCTAGCTAACAGCACTTGCCCCTGCAGCCTGTTAGAGGCTACACGGGGGATCTTTGTCTGTGTCTGTGTGTGAGGTGCTAGCTGACAGCACTTGACCCTGCAGTCTGTTAGAGGCTAAACGGGGGATCTTTACCTTTGTGTCGGGATATCAAACAAAAAAATGTCCTCGTGGTGGGCGTCGTCGAGACAATGACGTCATATGCGTGCCCCCACATTGAACATGACGCCTCGACCGGAGGTGACGGAAAAACAAATGACGTCACCCCCGCTCGTCGTGACGTCATGCAGATGAACGACTTCCTCACCCGAGACGTCACACGCCGCCTCCTCCTCACCACCGCCACCGTCTGCCTCCACGGATTGGTGAAGTATGGTCAACCACCACCCACATCACCCCCCACCACCACCACAGCACCACCACCACCCACACCACCACCACACAGCACCACCACACAGCACCACCCACACCACCACCCACACCACCACCAACCCCCACATCACCACCCGCACCCACAAAGATAAAGATCCCCCGTGTAGCCTTAACAGACTGTAGGGGCAAGTGCTGTTAGCGAGCAGCACCTATGAAGGCCGGAACGGTACACGAGGGGGTGGGTGGCCAGCACCACGCCCGACCGCCTTTGTCTCCCCAGTGGCGATGATTACTGCACACCGCACCAGGTACTCATTTGAGGCTGAGTCGACCTAGGGGGAGGCCCAGGACCGGTTCAGATAATCGTCACCGGTGGTGTTGGCCGTGAGCGGGAATCGAACCCGGGTCGCCAGGTTCATAGCGCAGCGTAGCGCTACACCGCTACACCACCGCTTCCCATACGCGCAACACCGCACCACCACTACCACACACACCACCACCACCCACACCACCACCACTACCACACACACCACACACACCACCACACACCACCACACACCACCACCCACACACACCACCACACACACCACCACCACACACCACACACACCACCACCACACACACCACACACACCACCACCATCCACACACACCACCACACACACCACCACCACTACCACACACACCACCACCACCACACACCACACACAACCACACACACCACACACAACCACACACACCACCACACACACCACACACACCACCACTACCACACACACCACCACACACACCACCAACAACAACACAACAACCGTCATTCGCCACTAAGTGGTGGTGACGTCACCACGACGCTTGTGCCAGGCCATGTGCATCCTGAGGCCACGTGAAGTGTCGAACGCCCGCTGGCAGGAGGTCACGGGGCAGACCCAGGTGCCACAGGTCGACTGACTGAGATGACTGGCTGATGCACCACCTGTGCCCCCTACTGTGCCAACCTGCTGTGCTTTAGCCACCCGGCGCTCCGCTCGTTGTTGTGAGCGTCGCTCCTCCGCCCTCCGTTGTTGTTGGAGGGCGACTACCTCCAACTGCCCAGTAGCATCCTTCACGAGCCTCCTCCACAAAGGTCGATCTTGACACCGCTGGTACCAGTCATCGGCAAGTCCACTCAGCTCCACGTCCTCCTGTACCACATCACTCCATCTCTTCTCTAGCCCGTGCCGCGCCCGCTTAGCCCCCTCAATCCGGCCGAACAAAAGCTGTTTCGGCATGCGTTGGCTGGGCATGCGGGCTACATGACCCAGCCATCGCAGCCTTGCCCGCCGGAGGAGCTCACCGATGGGACCTTGCCCAGATCTTTCAAGGATTTGTGAGCTCCTCACACAATCCAGTCTGGTTAAACCCAGGATGGATCGTAGGCAGGCCAGCCTAAATGTTTCTAGCCGGCGAAGATGTTCCATTAGGGGGTCCACGTTTCGCAAGCGTAGAGAAGGGAGGGAATGACCGTGGCCGAGAAGACCTGAAGCTTAGTGCGGAGCGACAGACCAGGTAGCTTCCACACAGCGTTACGCAACCGATTAAAATATATTGCCGCTCGACTGATTCGGAGTGAGACCTCTGCTGTTAAACTGGAGCCAGTCATAAGCACACTACCCAGGTATGGGAAACTCTCCACTCTCTCCACAACTGCCCCATCACCGATTGGGAGTTGTGGGGGTGGAGTGTCCGATGGTACAAAATACCCAGACAGGTGCTTAGTTTTGGTGGGGCTGATGGTAAGGCCCCACCTCTTAGTGGCACGCTCCAGTCTCAGCAGCAGCGTCTCCAACTCCTCCTCTGACTGAGCAGCTATTACCAAATCATCAGCATACATAACGTGGTTGACCAATAGGGAGCCATCTCTTGACCGCACCCGGGCATCGATCAGCCTCCCATTATATCTGTACCATATGGAGATTCCCCCGGTACAGCAATTGAAGGCTTCACGAACTACGTGGTCAAAATAGATGTTAAATAATGTGGGAGCCAGAGGACATCCCTGTCGCACCCCAAGGTGTACAGGGAATGGCTCTGACTCCCGGCCACGTAGTTTTACCCGGGCCCGCTCACCATCATGAAGGTCCTTAATGATCGTGAGCAGAGGGTCAGGTACTCCAAAAGCACGAAGAACGACCCAGAGCCCAGGCCTACTGATGGTATCATAGGCCTTGACCAGGTCAATAAAGCAGAGATGTAGGTCTTGTTGGAATTCCCTACACCTCTGCTGTAGCAGACGGACAGAAAATATGGCATCTGTGCAGGACTGCCCTTTCCTGAAACCGCATTGGGGCTCCGCAAGCCTCTCCTCAGCGTGCCTGTCAAGGCGATGCTGAATAATCCTTGCCAGGACCTTTCCCGGCACACTGAGGAGTGAGATGCCCCTGTAGTTGTTACAGTCTGTGCGGTCCCCCTTCTTAAAGAGGGGGACCACCAGGGCATCCTTCCAATCCTGCAGAACCCGTCCAGCGGCCCAGACCGTTATGATGTCATATAGGGCAGTCTGTGCACAAACGCCACCCTCCCTCAGCATTTCTCTTGGGAGATCATCTCTGCCCGCTGCCTTTCCTGGTCTCAGACTCCGGATCGCCTTCAGTACTTCCTCAACAGATGGCACCTCAGCCAGCCACTCACAGGGGGTGACTTCCAATATTTGAGGCACCGCAGCCTCAGCAGGGTCATCCTCACTTTGTGCCACGATGTTTTCCTGGCTGAGGGATTTTTCCCTCCCCCAGGACCTCACAGAAATGCTCAGCAAATCTGCAAACCTGTTCCTGGGGGTCGGAGATTGGATCACCGTTTTTTTCCCCTAATGATGGTAATAGGTGTGGCGCTGCAGGTTACTTTTTTGATGGAGTTAAATAGAGATTTGTGATCACGGGCCACTGAGGCAGACTCCATCTCCTCAGCAACCCGCGACCACCACCCATCCTTGCAGCGCCTCACGGCTCTCCGAACCTCCGAGCGAAGGCTGCGGTAAGCCTCCTCATTCTCTGACGTGGGATTCTGTAGCCGATGACAGTGGGCCTGTCGCTTTTTCTCAACCATCCTGAACACCTCTGTCAGCCAGGGTCTCTGGGGAGGTCTGGACCGCGTACCCAAAGCAGCCATTGCAGCTGCATGAGTCACAGTCCTAAACCTCGCCCATTTACCCTCGACATCAGGAGGAGTCGGGGACGATGCCAATCCCAGCCGCAAGCGATGATGAAATTCTCGCTTGCAACTTTCATCAGATAACTGAGACCAGGCCACTTTAGGTCAGAATGGGGTCCTGGGTGTACACCCACCACCGGAGTGGAAGAATGGCAGGCGCATCTTACAGATGACTAGTCGATGGTCAGAGGGCAGATCAGCTCCACGGTAGGTCCTGGTGTCAAGGACATGGGCTCGCATCCGCTGGTCCGTCACTATGTAGTCCAGCAGATGTTCTTGCTTGGACCCGGCATGCATCCATGATGTTGTGTGGATGCGCCGATGCCGGAACAGCGTGTTGGTAATTACAAGCCCATGGGCTGCACAAAAATCTAGCAGCCTCCTACCGTTGTTATTGAGCTGATCTGGCCCATGCCCTCCAATCACTCCAGACCAGGTGCCAGTATCATGACCAACTCGGGCATTAAAGTCACCCAACATGATGACTCTATCCCGAGGGGCCACTTTAGCCAGCACCTGTGACAGGAGGTCATAGAAGGCATCTGACTCATCGGCTTTGCCTGCATCCCTCCACGGATGTTCATCTTCGGTGGGGGCATAAGTAACCACGACCACCATTCCTCACCTCCGGTTGATGGGAAGGCGAGCCCAAAGTAGCCTGGGGCTTACAGCTTCCCACACCTCACCGCCACGCTCCCACGCCCCCTTCATTCTTTTGTTCAAAAGAAGAGCCACACCCTGTTGTTTGGCAGTCTGCTGCCCCGAGTAGAGGACTGTCCACCCCTCATGGTGGCAGGAGCCAGAGCCGGTCCACCGGACCTCCTGAATGCCGCATAGATCCAGGCGGTACCGGTCCAGCTCCCGACAGAGGAGTGGCAGCCTCTCCTCCGCAGTAAGCGTTCGAACATTCCACGTGGCCACCCGTAGTGGCTTTTCCTTGTTTCTGGAGGAGCCCCGAGGGTGGATATTCAATCTCCTGGCTCCGCCAATTGGGGTTTGGCCAGGAGACGTCATAGACGCCTGGCCCCCCGGGGCCTCCGGCACAAGCTTATTAGTTACATATTTCAGTTTAACTCGTGGTTTCGTGGTAATTAATTGAAGGTGGAGGGGTTACCATCCCCTCGCACCCGTCCAGAGCCCCCGTTTAGCCCCTGTGGTGGACACATATGCCATGAGGGGAGGAGCCAATCAAAATTGGATCTCCCCCCACAGCACTGTCCACGACAGAGTTGCCCGTCCGGCACCACGAGGAGGTAGGGGGTTGTTTTGCCACACACACCACCACACACCACCCACACCACCACCCACCACCACCCACACCACCACCCACACCACCACCACATGCACACGCGTGTGCACGCACAGGCATGCACACACGCATCAACACAAATACACACACAGACAAAGATCCCCCGTGTAGCCTCTAACAGGCTGCAGGGGCAAGTGCTGTCAGCGAGCACCTCACACACAGACACAGACAAAGATCCCCCGTGTAGCCTCTGACAGACTGCAGGGGCAAGTGCTGTTAGCTAGCACCTCACACACAGACAAAGATCCCCCGTGTAGCCTCTGACAGACTGTCGGGGCAAGTGCTGTTAGCTAGCACCTCACACACAGACACAGACAAAGATCCCCCGTGTAGCCTCTGACAGACTGTCGGGGCAAGTGCTGTTAGCTAGCACCTCACACACAGACACAGACAAAGATCCCCCGTGTAGCCTCTGACAGACTGTCGGGGCAAGTGCTATCAGCAAGCAGCAGCACCTATGAAGGCTACCGGCACTGTGTCACACGAGGTTTGGTGGCTGGCTACCAGCACAGCGCCCGCCCGTCCGCCTTTGTCTCTCCTTCCCCCCCCCCTCCCCCCCGGGTGAGCGATGTTTCATTTGAGGCTGAGTCGACCTAGGAGAGGGCCCAGGACCGGTGCAGTTTCCATCACCGGTGTGGAGTGAACATCGCCCGGTGGGCGGAGAGACAAAGGCGGCCGGGCGTGGTGCTGGCCACCCAGCCACCCACCCCATCGTGGGCCACGGTGGCCGGTAGCCTTCGATATGTGTCACTGCACTTGCCCCGGCAGGCTGTGACAGGCTACACGGGGGATCTTTGTCGTTTGTGATCCCCAAGGGTGCCCTGACCGTCATGGGTCATCCCCCTTTGCGAGTATTTCAAAATACAAAAATCGGTTTTACCCTTTCCGGTCACGATAACACGGTTTGCGTTAAGATGTTAAAACACCAAACAGAAACGTTGTTATTATTCTTAGTTCTTTCGGTAAAGTCACGTTGAAGGGAAACAACAATAATAAAATATATATGAAACAATATAAAATATATATTTTATTATTTTGTTGTTTCCCTTCAACGTGACTTTACCGAAATAACTAAGAATATGAATTACTGCAGTCACGAAAGCTTTCAATCAAAATTTAGAAACGTTGTTGTAAATAATCGTGTCAATGCGTTTTAAACACGCAGATACTTGCGGTGAACATGCAAACAAAAAAACATGGCCTGGTAGTGGATGATGATGCATTGTCATTGAAACTGATTGGTCCACACCAGAGACGGCTTTCTTTAGAGCCTGATCTCACCAACTGTATTTAGACCAGGGGTCTAAATACAGTTTCCAGTTTCGTTTATTTGGTATAGCCCCGTGTGAGCCATTCACCTCTTGAATCGGGTGCAACCGCAACAAACACAAAAACACAAACAAGAAAAACATCTTGAAGTGACTACGTGTGTGACTGTGCAAAACAGAAAATCCAGGACAAAAAACGGCAAAAAATATTCCAGGAAAAGCGCCGTGCACCACACCAACGCCGTGTGCGACAAATCCCAGTGGGATGCAAGTTAAACAACAACAACAACAACCACCACAAGACAACTTTAGATTAAGGCCATCAGTCTTAACTCCGTACTACAACAAACAAACATGGCCAAACCAAAAAAAAACGTTTTCGAGAAATCAACACTGGTCGTGACACCAGAGGTCTAACACCCCGAGCTATAAATATCCTGAAAGTGGCATTGTCTTTGTACTTCTTTGGTTCTTTCGGTAAAGTCACGTAGAATGAGAATAAGATAATAAATTGATAAAATAAAATAACACAATAATATTCTCACGACGTTTCGGCCACAACACAAGCGGCCTTCATCAGGTGAAGGGACGAGACTGTCTGGTAGGACAGCGCTGGAGTGAAAAAGCCACGTTCAGATCACGACCTTTAAGCTGTGTGAGAGGAAACAAAGCGCCTTGACAGAGGAATTAGCATATAATTTAGCATTGAAATGGCTGAGTGATTAGCTTGTGACTGGTCACAGAAATGGCTATGTTAAAAGTTAAAGCATACACATCCGCAGAGGCACCCCTTGACAAAGGAATTAGCATAGAATTTAGCATTGAAATAGCTAAGTTAAAGCATGCACATCCGCAGAGGCACCCCTTGACAAAGGAATTAACATAGAATTTAGCATTGAAATAGCTAAGTTAAAGCATGCACATCCGCAGAGGCACCCCTTGACAAAGGAATTAGCATAGAATTTAGCATTGAAATAGCTGAGTGTCTTTGTACTGTTCGCCCTTTTCGGCGTTGTCCCCTGGTCGACATTTAAAATCGACGTCGCCAACGCGCTTTTCGGGAGCGTTTTGGCCACTGCCAGGGTCGGAGCCAGGATTTTGACTTTTTGGGGGGGTGGGCGGGAGAGCTAACTTCAATATTCTGAGACATCCAGTGTATGTTTTCCAATGGGCACCACAAATGTATAAAGCAAATTTTATTGGTGTTCTTGGTTCTTTCGGTAAAGTCACCACCACGTTGGAAGGGAAACAATAAAATAATAAAAATATATAAAACAATAAAATTCTCACGGCGTTTCGACTGCAACACAAGCAATCATCATCGGGTGTGAAAACCACCACGTTAGAAGGGAAACAATAAAATAATAAAAATATGAAACAATAAAATTCTCACGGCGTTTCGACTGCAACACAAGCAATCATCATCAGGTGTGAAAACCACCACGTTAGAAGGGAAACAATAAAATAATAAAAATATAAAACAATAAAATTCTCACGGCGTTTCGACTGCAACACAAGCAATCATCATCAGGTGTGAAAACCACCACGTTAGAAGGGAAACAATAAAATAATAAAAATATGAAACAATAAAATTCTCACGGCGTTTCGACTGCAACACAAGCAATCGTCATCGGGTGTGAAAACCACAGCAAGAAGAAAAATTTCCACAGCGAGAACATTTTTTCTTGCTGTGGGTTTTCACACCTGATGATGATTGCTTGTGTTGCAGTCGAAACGTCGTGAAAATGTTATAGTTCCTTGTTTTTTTCGGTAAAGGCACGTAGAAAAATAACATAATGGTGTACGACGTTTCCATTGCAACACAAGCAATCATCATCATCAGGTACAGAAGAGCTAAATTTACGAGAGAGAGGAGACGCGTAGCCGCAGATATATGCACAGACACAGATACAACGGGATACAGAGAGAGAGAAACGTGGGAGCACACTAAATCAAGCAGGTTTTTGCAAGATTTGTAAACCATATAACGCAACACAAACGGTCGGTCAAAAACACAATTAACGCAAGGCCAGGTTGATTACGTTATTTCAAAGATTGCCAAATTGTAAGTTAAGTGTGAAATTTAAAATCTAAAAAAATATACAGACCGCATACACATATATAACACATCCAAGCAGAACGAGTTAGCACAGAGACACATGGAGAGAGAGACACAGGCACTGTGTGCCTGTCTCGCTCTGTACGCGACTTTACCGAAAAAAACAAAGAATAATTCCTGTAGTCACGAAAGCTCCAAATTCAAATTGTATTTTATATTTTTATTATTTTATTGTTTCCCTTCTACGTGGTGACTTTACCGAAAGAGGCAAGAATATTAATCGCTGCAGTCACGAAAAGCTTTAAATCAAAATTTAATTTTAATTTGAACGCGGAGTTTATTAATAGGTCGGAGCCGCCGATGTGGCTAATAAGTTCGATAAGTTCAAAATGCTGCCGCTCAAGCAGCCTGCAGGACAGCAAGAGGTGGCAGCCTGCAGGGCAGCACAAGGTGGCAGCACACGGTGGCAGCCTGCAGGGCAGCACACGAGGTGACAGCACAAGGTGGCAGCACAAGGTGGTAGCCTGCAGGGCAGCACACAAGGTGGCAGCACAAGGTGACACCACAAGGTGACACCACAAGGTGGCAGCACAAGGTGGCAGCCTGCAGCATTTTGCAGCAGCCGGATATCCGGTTATCCAGATGACCGACTTTCCCAAAATTTCAGGGGGGGCTGAGCCCCCCCCAGCCCCCCCTGTGGCTCCGCCCCCTGGCCGCTGCTATACATTTCCACGCGACAAGCCACGCGGTTGAGCCCGCCGTCATCTGCGATGGGCTGGTCGCCGCTTCTGAAAGAGAGAGAGCCGCTACTACGCAGCAGCTCAGCGTGGAGGAGGGGTGGGGGCCCTTACGTGGGCCCTCACGTGGGCCCTCACGTGGGCCCTCACGTGGGCCCTCACGTGGGCCCTCACGTGGGCCCCCACGTGGGTAACGGTCAAAAATAGTTTCTGCCTCCACGCCGGCTACATGAACACCGGCCGTCCGTCCGTCCGTGTACTTTACCCTGCCCCTTCTCGCCGTACAGACGGTGATGGAGCCTTGCCCAAGCAAGACGCCGCCGCCGCCGCCATCTCCTCCTCCTCCTCCTCCTCCGCAGCAGCAGCAGCATCATCAGCAGCAGCAGCAGCATCATCAGCAGCAGCAGCGGCGCCCCTACGGCACCGACCGCCGCAGCAACCTGAAGGCCCGCGCCCGCGCCCACGCGGCCGAGAAGCCGTTCCAGTGCGGCGACTGCGGCAAGGCGTTCGCGCTGGCGGGCAACCTGCAGACGCACCAGCGCAGCCACTGCGACAGCGGCGGCGGCGGCAACAGCAGCAGCAACAACAACAACAACAACAAGCAGCCGCCGGCGACGACGCCGCCGCCGCCGCCGCCGCCCCCCCCGCCAGGGCGGCCCCGGCGCCGAGAAGCCGTTCGAGTGCGGCGACTGCGGCAAGGCGTTCGCGGTGCCGTCGGGCCTGCGCGTGCACCGGCGCACGCACCGGGGCGAGCGGCTGTTCGTGTGCACGGTGTGCGAGAAGGCGTTCTCCCGCCTCGAGCACCTGCAGCGCCACCAGACGACGCACACGCGCGAGCGCCCGCACGCGTGCCCCGACTGCGGCCGGGCCTTCGCCCACGCCCACCACCTGCGGGGCCACCGCGCCACGCACACGGGCGAGCGCCCGCACGCCTGCGCCGACTGCGGCCGGGCCTTCGCGCAGCGCGGCAACCTGCGCACGCACCAGCGCGCCGTGCACACGGGCGAGCGCCGGCACGCCTGCGCCGACTGCGGCCGGGCCTTCGCGCAGCTCGGCAGCCTGCGGAAGCACCGCGCCGTGCACACGGGCGAACGGGCCCACGCGTGCGCCGCCTGCGGAAAGGCGTTCGCGCGCGCCGAGCACCTGCTGCGGCACCGCGCCACGCACACGGGCGAGAGGCCGCACGCGTGCGCGCAGTGCGGCCGGGCGTTCGCGCACGCGCACCACCTGCGCAGGCACCGGCAGGTGCACGCCGAGGAGGGCGCCGAGAAGGAGGAGGAGGCGGCGGAGGCGGCGGCGGCGGCGGCGCTGGCGCTGAACCATCACGCGAGCGGCTGAGGCGCCGCGCTCCGGTGGCGTCCGCGGCAGGACGGCGGCTTTTCGCCAGGCCGTTCGAACGGAGGCGGCGGTGGTCGCCGCGCGGCGGTTTCGGATGCCCGCCGCCGCTTCTGCGGACCGTCTGGAACGCTCTCTCCCTTCCGGCGCGAGGGAGGCACCGGGAGCTTCGACGCACTTTGACGCCGTCATCGTCGCCGTCGCCATCGTCTAGATTGACAAACTCGTTTCTTCAGAACTGCTGCTGCTGCTGCTGCTGCTTGTTGTTGTTGTTGCGCGTTTAGTTCGTCGTCCTTGACACCCCCGCGCACCTCCGATTAGCCACGGTTGGCTTACGTACGGTGGTGCAAAAGAAGTGCAACCTACGCATGCACACGAGGGCCCCCCCCTCCACGCTTCAGAGGGGGCTCTGGGGGGGGAGGGGAGGGGAGGGGAGGGGAGGGCCCCCCCCCCCCGAATCTTGACAAACGAAGGCCCGGTGCCAAATCATTTCGTCTTCAACGCGGGAACGCAAGTCGGGGATCGCGACGGGCGGCCATTTTGGCCGCTCGGTGCTTGCGCCGCTCGCTAAAAGCCGCGGGCCAGCGCGGTGAAGCTGTGGCCGGCGCCGCTGTGGCAAGGCCACCGCGGCGCCGGCCAGGTGGCGGTGGTGATGATGAAGAAGATGGCGATAGCGATGGAAATGGCGATGATGGAGATGATGATGATGATAATGATGATGAAGATGACGTTGGCGATGATGATGAAGATGGCGTTGGCGATGATGGCGATGGCGATGATGGAGATAATGATGATGATGAAAATGCCGCTGGCGATGATGATGATGATGGCGATAACGATGGAAATGGCAGTGTCGATGATGGAGATGATGATAATGATGATGAAGAAGATACCCGTGGCGATGATGATGATGATGAAGATGGCGGTGGCAATGATGGAGATGTTGATGATGATGAAAATGCCGCTGGCGATGATGATGGCGATAATGATGAAGATGGCGGTGGTGATGATGGAGATGATGATAATGATGATGAAGATACCCATGGCGATGATGATGAAGATGGCGGTGGCGATGATGGAGATGTTGATGATGAAAATGCCGCTGGCGATGATGATGATGTCGATAATGGAGATGATGATGAAGATGGCGGTGGCGATGATGGAGATGATGATGATGAAAATGCCGCTGGCGATGATGGCGATAATAATGGAAATGGCGGTGGCGATAATGGAGATGATGATGAAGGTGGCGGTGGCGATGATGATGGCGATAATGATGGAAATGGCGGTGGCGATAATGGAGATCATGATGAAGATGATGATGAAGATGCCAGCGGCGATAATGATGGCAATAATGATGGAAATTTTAGTAGCGATGATGATGATGATGCCGGCGGCGATGATGGAGATGGCGGTGGCGATGACTGACAACGGATTGCTCCGCTCGCACCGTCGATCGAGCACTGATGGAGCACCGTCGCGGCTCTCCGGTGCGTTTCTCTGGGCCGTGCCGCGGGCCGTTCGAAATCATGTCTGACGTTTCGCGTTAGGCGCCAAAATTTCGTCTATTCACGAGCCAATTGGTTCTTCGGGAATCAAATTGGTTCTTCTGCTTGAGGCTGTGCCCAAAGCGACAGCACTCCTTTTTAAAGAGATGTAGGCGCACGTAGAATCTGTACACTTTTTGGAGGAAAAAAACGGTATCGGACATGGAAAACTGTGTACGACAATGTTATTCAACGAAATAAAAACCACTATTTTGTATCACTTTCTGTGTCTGCATACACATCTGCAATCGACGGACGGAAGTATTGTTAGGGCCACGAAGTCGAGTTTACACACTGGTCCTTACAATTACACTAAAACTAAAACAACTTCTTGTTAGTTTAACACGTAGGCTTTCGCGACCAATATCCATAATACAGGTTGGGGGGTTTGGGGTGAGATGGCGTAAATATATTAATGTTGTGTCGTTAAACCCGCCACCACCCGACACAGCCAATTAGTAAGGTTTGTTACGTAAACAGAACGTGCCAATTCGTTACTAGTACAGCACTAGTGTATAGTGTAGTGTTTAGTAAAGCACTAGTGTATAGTGTAGTGTTTAGTAAAGCACTAGTGTATAGTGTAGTGTTTATTGTAGTGTATAGTAGTGCATAGTCAAGTGTATAGTGTAGTGTATAGTCAAGTGTATAGTGTAGTGTATAGTGTAGTGTTTAGTGTATAGTGTAGTGTTTAGTATAGTGTTTAGTATAGTGTTTAGTATAGTATTTAGTGTAGTGTATAGTGCAGTGTTTAGTAGTGTATAGTGTAGTGTATAGTGTAGTGTTTAGTGTCGTGTATAGTAGTGTATAGTGTAGCGTATAGTGTAGTGTAGAGTGTAGCGTATAGTGTAGTGTATAGTGTAGTGTATAGTAGCGTATAGTGTAGCGTATAGTGTAGCGTATAGTGTAGTGTATAGTAGCGTATAGTGTAGTGTATAGTAGCGTATAGTGTAGTGTATAGTGTAGCGTATAGTGTTAGTATACCACCCACCGGTTGTGTTGGAGAGCAAAGCCACAGCATTTACAATCGTGAGTACGGCGTTCCGTCAGCAACACGACATTTCACCAGGAACGTTTACTGTTCATCAGGTGAAGGCCGCCGAGCTTTGGGCTCTTGTTTGCGCGGCAACTTGGCCACACGCGGTGATCCAGGGCGAGAGCCGGCAAGGATCTGGACGGACGCAGAATAAACGACACAGCAAAAAAATGGGACGGGGTTTCGTTATCGCGGCGATTTGCGGCGGGGATGCGGAAGATCAAGGGAATATGAAGATATGCCGGACGAACGAGAGAGAGAGAAGATCATCACCGCCACCGAGGGATCATGAAAAGGGGGCCGTCCGTAAATGACGTCACGCGATTTTGGACGTCACGCGGCGTCACAGAAAGTCAGACCCCCGCCCTCCCTCAAATATGACGTCACAAAGCTCTGCCCCGCCCCCCTCCCAAAAAAACATTTCCGTTTCGAAAAAATACAATGCTTCAAATCGCTTTAAACTATTGTCATTGTAGTGCTGCGTATTTAACGTGGCGCTGCACTCTGATGTTGTAGGAGTGTTGTTATCACAATAAGTGTTGTTGTAACAATTCTGTATTTTGATGTAAAGCTTTCGTGACTGCAGGGATGCATATTCTTGGTTCTTTCGGTAAAGTCACCACCACGTAGAAGGGAAACAGTAAAATAGTAAAAATATGAAACAATAAAATTCTCACGACGTTTCGACTGCAACACAAGCAATCATTATCAGGTGATGATGATTAGGTTATGATTATTATTGCAATAATAATCATCAGGTGATGATGATTGCTTGTGTTGCAGTCGAAACGTCGTGAGAATTTTATTGTTTTATATTTTATTATTTTATTGTTTCCCTTCTACGCGGTGGTGACTTTACCGAAAGAACCAAGAATATATAATTCTATATTTATTTAAAGTTGCGCATTTTGATGTGACGTCACATTTCTCAAACACCCCCCCTCCCCTCGTCACACATCGTCACAAATGTCTGACCCCACCCCCCCCCGCAAGGTGCGTGACGTCATTTACGGACGGCCCCAAATGACAGAATCTCGTCCGCAGATGTAGAAAGAGCAAAGAAAGCATCCTAAGAAGTGGAGGGCATGAGCGGGAAAATTACGAACAAGGGGAGGGACAGTGTTGGACTATTGTAGTAGCAAAAGCAGCAAATGCTACGGACCCAGCACTTAACAAAGGGCCCTGGCGCTAAATGCTTGCAAGTTCTAGATTTAAAGCTTTCGTGACTGCAAGGATCCATACTCTTTGGTTCTATTGGGTAAAGTCACGTGGGTAAAAAATTAAATAGCAAAAATCACGACGTTTCGGCCACAACACAAGCGGCCTTCATCGGGTGAAGGGACGAGACTGTCTGGAGGACAGCGTTGGTTCCATTGGGTAAAGTCACCTACGTAGGTAAAAAATAAAATAACAAAAATCACCTACGTGACTTTACCCAATAGAACCAAAGAGTATGCTTGCAAGTTACCAATTCCGCTTCAGTGATTCTTGCACTCTATTATACCAGTGACGGATTAAGCTCGTGCGGTGCCTGTCCGCATGATCTTATAAAGGAGCCCTAAATAAAATAAAAACACGTTAATATTGAAACACAAATGATTTTACTTGCATAGTAAAGTAATTGGAATTTTTCATTTGCTATACAGCCAGATAATATGACAAATCTCGAACCTTAAACGCCCCCAGTCCTTCATGAAAGTTGAAGGCAGTGTAGTACTATAGTCATTGCCTCTAAACACGTGGGGCAGATCGTCCACAGTGGTGCAAGTAGAGCCTGTCTGCTGCTGTTGCTGCTGCTGAGCCACTGAATGTGGAAACCCGGTCCCTAGAAAGGTTTAGTTTAGCCCGATTTGTTTTTATATATATATAGTTTCGGGTTAGACTAAAATTTTAATGTAGATTGTATTATGATTGTTATTGTGATCAAACATCAAAATGAGATTTTTTGTTGCACATTTTTGTTATTTGCAGGCATAAACAAACGGTGCTTTTTCTGGAAGATTTTATTGTTATAATCTTAGTTCTTTCGGTAAAGTCACGTTGAAGGGAAACAACAAAATAATAACCAACACACCTGAAGACGACCGTTTGTGTTATGGTCGAAACGTGAGAATTTTTATTGTTTTATATATATTTTATTATTTTGTTGTTTCCCTTCAACGTGACTTTACCGAAAGAACTAAGAATATGAATTACTGCAGTCACGAAAGCTTTAAATCAAGATTTTATTGTTGATTGTCGGGGATGTTTAAATTTGCGTACGGTAAAAATGTGTAATGTATCTTGTTGTCATTTTATTGTTTTGTTGCTGTTGCGTCCGAATCAAGAGCCGAATGGGCTCACAGGGTTATTCCAAATAAATGAAATGAAACTGAAACTTCCCAATAACACCTGGGGCAGATCGCCAGCAGTGGTTCAAGCACAGCCCGGCTGAGAGCAACGTCTACTTGGGCAATTATATCATTAACTGGTATGTGTTTAGGTGTGACTGCAAAGTTTAGACCTTTAGCTAAAACGGATTTCAGACCATCGGAAATAGAACTGTTACTGCGATTAATTACGACTTTAACGTCTAACTTTTTGGTGTGTGGGTCCGGTCTTTTGTTGAAGAGGAGGTTACATTTGGAAATCAGGTTTTCCTTACATTTGGTCGACAGTAGCAGCTGAAGAGGCAGTCATATTGTCTACATGTTCCCAATCCGATGTGGACATTATTGCCGTCAATGATAAGTGTGATTTGTAGAGTGTCTTGTCTAACTGATCTAGTTCTGTGCGTATAAGTCTGATTTTTTCTGAGATAAGAGCTAAGCTAGTTTTGAAAAGAATTCGTTTCGCATTAGAAGAAGTTACAGCAGCAGAGGTCAGTGTAAATGTGATTGGTATTACCCCAGAGTTGCGGCATCTCTTCAGGAAGGTGAGAGACTCGATCAGCTGAGCTTTCTTATCCCGGAGTTTGTTGAAGGATCTTAAAGTTATGTGAAAACCCTCCCCGTAGAGGCGATTAAATTTTGATTTAAAGCTTTCGTGACTGCAGTAATTCATATTCTTAGTTTTTTCGGTAAAGTCACGTTGAAGAGAAACAACAAAATAATAAAATATATATCAAACAATAAAAAAATTCTCACGACGTTTCGACCATAACTCAAACGGTCATCTTCAGGTGTGTTGGTTTGCATAAAT